CCAGTGAAGGGCCTGGGGGCATTCTGGGGCTGAGTAGGCTGAATAGGAATCTGTAGAGGGAATGCACCAGGATCCCCACCAGGAGCTGCAGGTGGAGAGGGCTGTGGGCCTGAGCACACTCTCCTGCTGCTCCTTTGCTCTTTGGAAATCAGCTCTAGAAAGAAATCTGTGGCGTGCCTGCCCTCCCTACCCCTGCTCCTTTGTCCCCATTGACCAGGACCCCCATCCCCCACCAGGATTCAGCCCTAAAAGGCACATCTTGTCACCGAAAGTCTGTGTCCTCTGGAATTGGTGTCTGCTCCAAGACCTGGCTTAATAGAAAACACCCTCCACCAGGGTAGGGGTGAGGTGAGGGAGTCATAGAAGAGGGGAGGGGGCAGGAGGTGGGAAAAGGAGGGGGCACAGCTGAGCTGTCCTGCCTTGTCTGATTCTAAGCCTTTTACATTCCGGGTGCCTCAGGATGCCCCTGGGAGAGGAAATAAGGTCTCCAAAGTACTGAGCTCTCCGGACACCATCACACGGTACAGGCGTCGCCAGGGCGTCAGAAAAGGAAACAGAGGGACCAGCAGTTAGCATAATGGCTATGTCGCTGGACTCCCACGTAGTCGACCGTGGTACGCGTCCCGGCCCCGGTGGCTTAAAACTCACACCGGGCGCGTGTGCGTGTGTGCCCAAGATCCCAAGAGGAGAATGGAGAAGAAGGGATTGCGGCCTGGCCATCCCCCCTGGGGGGTGATTTCTCGCTTTCTGTCTCTCTGTCTGTCTGGCGAGCGCACGCCCCCTATAGCAAAAACGTCTAAAAAAAAAAAAAGAAAGAAAAGAGAAGGAAGCGGATCCCACCACTCGCGGAATAGGGACGCTCGCCCTCCTCCGTGAGCAGTCTGACTGCGCCTCTCACTACACCTGGAAATGACTCCGCCCCTGGCGACTTCGGGAGGCTGGTAGCAAGAATCGGACCAAATTGAACAGCGACCAAATTGGTCTGCTCTTGAGAGAGAGGGAGACGGAGACACAGAAAATGCCACCCTGGCAAGGGACAAGAGTCGCAAAGGTGGCGGGGACATGCCAATTTGGGGCGTGCCCTCCAGTTGCGTGGCCAAGGTAAAAACCTCCGAGGGGACAGGTGACGTTCACGTCCCAGCGGCGCCCGTACCCGGGGTGGGTGTCCTCTGTCTGGATCGCCTTTTGCTCTCACTCGAGACTCCCAGTCTCCGCGGGCAACTGCGCGGAAGACGCAGAAGCGGGATCCGGCTCTCTCGGTCCCTCCGCCCTGCAGCTCCCCAACCCCAGACCGAGAGCAAAGGGCGCGGGCCCGGGCTCCGGCAGGTCCCAGCCCAGGTTCCGTGGACCCCGCGCCTCCGCTGCCAACCACCCGACTCCGCGCGCGGTCTCTGGAGGCGGCGCCCGGGCAGAGCCAGGAATTCCCGCTGGAGGAGCAAAGCCCGCGGGGCCTCCGGACCGAGGGACAGCGAGGCGCAGGAAGAAGGCGCGGTGCGCGGGAACCCTCCCAGAGGTGCCTCTTTTCTGGTCACCTTTGGGGAGATGTCCCTCTGCCTGCTAGTGGCGCTCGCCCTCCAGCCCAGGCACCGCCGGCTGCCTCGGTTCGCGCTGGCACTCGCCAGTCCTGGTTTAGCGTCCCTGCCGGGTCCTAGAAGACCCAAAGCGATTTCTCAGAACCAGCTCCGGCCAGCCCGTGCGCGAGGCTGGAGGCTGGCGGGAGCAAAGCAGCCAAATCCGCTGCTTAGAATGAAGTGGGCGTCGGAGCCCGGTACGCGGGTGGCTCTTGGTCCCCGCGGACATAGGTCCCCGCCTGTGGGACTCTGAGCACTCACCTCCAACGCCTGCCCTTCCCCGAGGCGCTGGGCTGCCTCAGAGGGTCGCTGGGTTGTGGGCGTGGGCCGGGCCGCTGGGTGGCCGGCTCCGGGATCCGGACTTGCACTTGCGGAGCCGCTGTCTTCCTAGTCCAGTGCGCTGCCCCAGCGCGTCGCGCGCTCTCTCTTCCCGCTGGAGTTGGCGCTCCGCCCCGAAGCTCCTCTCGTCTGTAGGACTGGCCCGCGCGCCCCGCCCAGCGCTCGGCTCCGCCACGGTCCCCCGCCCGCCTCCCAGCCGGGGCAGCGGGTGGGTGCCCAGCTCCTGCATCCTGCAGCGCGCCCTCCCGCTGGCGCGCCCCGGTCGCCGTCATCCGAGCTCCAGTCGCGCTGGCGCTGGTTTCCTGGCGGCGAGGGCAGCCCTTGAAGGGGCGTCTCCTCTCGCACCCTGGTCTGAAAGGGATCGCTGTGACTGGGCTTCCATCGTGCGATTCGTAATACTGAGCATCGCCCTCTGCACCCCGCCGTGGCGCGCACCTGGGTCGCCGCCGCAGGAGCAGAGAGTCCACGCTTTTTCAGGTGCTCAGTGCCAGCGGCTGAGCCTGCTACCAAGTGACTCCTTCAGGAAGAGCCCCAGGTGCCGCCTCTTCGTCCGTGCTGGTGGCTCTAAAAAGGGCAGTGGGTCGTTAGGGGTGGTAATGGAGGACCAGGCCCTCTGGAAGTAAGCTAGGAATGGGAATGGGAGACAGATTGCCCAGCTCAGTGAGGACCCTGAGTCCGCACCCAAAACTCTGCAATGGGGGCTAGCAGGTGGCATAATAGTTGGTGCACTGGACTCCCACATGGCCAACCCCGGTTTGGAGTCCTGGACCAGGATCTTGAAACTCACACCAGGTGCTTGTGCTCAAGAGTCCTGAGAGGAGAATGGAGGAGAAGGGACTGTGGTGTGGCCATCCCCTCTGGGGGGTGATTTCTCGCTTTCTGTCTCTCTGTCTCTCTGTCTCTCTGTCTCTCTGTCTCTCTGTCTCTCTGTCTCTCTGTCTCTCTGTCTCTCTGTCTCTGTCTCTCTGGCCAACATGGGTGCCCTATAGAAAAAAAATCTCTCTTCTGTGAAAAACGCGGGAAACTCTGGAAGACGTTGGGGTAGGCAAAGACTTAAGCCAGACCCACAAAGCACAGGCAATAATCCCCCAAATAGACAGGTGGGATTACATCACATTAAGGAGTTTCTACACAGCAAAGGACACTGTAATTAGTGTAAATCGACAACCCTCAGAATGGGAAAGAATTTTTGTTAACTGTGGCTCAGATAAGGGACTGGTAACCAGAATACACGGGGAACTCAAGCAGCTTACCTGGAAGAAAGTGATTAACCCAATTAAAAGATGGGAAAATGAGCTGAATAAACAACTCTTTAAGGAAGATATATGAACAGCCAAAAAGCATATGAAAAAATGCTCACTATCCCTCATTATAAGGGAGATGCAGATCAAAACCACGATGAGATACCAGCTAACCCCGGTCAGAATTGTGAAGATTAAAAAAATAATAAGTGCTAGAGGGGATGTGGTGAAAGGGGAACACTCTTACACTGTTGGTGGGAATGTAAATTGGTCCAGCCACTGTGGAGAACAATATGGAGGTTCCTCATATGATCCAGCAATTCCACTCCTGGGTATCTACCCAAAGGACAGGAGAGACCTCAGTCAGAAAAGCATTTGCACATCTATATTGATTGTAGCCTTATTCAAGATTGCTAAGACATGGAACCAACCCAAATGTCCACAAACAGATGAACGGATTGAAAAACTGTGGCACATATACTCCATGGAATACTATTCAGCCATAAAAAACAGGGCCCTGGAATTTGATAAAAAGTGGATGAATATGGAAGATTTGTTGCTGTGTGAAGCAAGTCAGGCTATGAAAGAGAGACATTGCATGTCTCCACTTAACATATGCCGATTGTATGCACCCTATGTTAGAGACTGAAAGACTGGAGAACATAAAAGTAGAGGAGTGTGGGAGGAACATCCTTTCCCAAGTCCATCCTCTCTTCTGTTATTTTAAAAAAGTGCAGGGGGAGAGCGTAGGAAATTTGGGGGGGGATGGAGAGGTAAGACACTTGTGGGACACAGATAAGGTTATTTTCTGTCGACGAGGATGTGTATGGTGGTCTCAACTGAGCTGGACTGAGGTGTATATAATGCTCAGTAAAGTCTCTTCACAATCTAAATGATGTATAGCGATTTAATGTATGAATAGTAATAAAAAATATATAAAGAAAAAAAGAAAAAATATCTCTAAAAAAAAAATACAACCAACCAATCAACAACAACAAATTCTGCCATGACCACCTCTATCCCATTCATCGACTGTTTAAAGACAATATCAGCAGTGCCTAAGCCCAGCTAGGGGAAGGCTCCAGAGCCTTCCCCTGTGCTTCAAACAGGCTGACTTTATGCAACTTTTATGACCTCCTTGGCTAAACTCAGGACCTGCAAATCCAACTGACTGACCCTGGGAAGCTCTGGGTATACAGGGTTGGAAGTGCGACAGAGACTAACCATCGCCCACTGTCAAACCCAGCAGAGTACTGACAGGTCAGAATATGGACCCTGCTTTGTCAGATCTTCCCCCTTTGCAAGAGAATATGGTATTTGGGAACTTTATAAATACTCAATATTAAATGAGTTAAAACAAAACAAAACACAAGCTTTGTGTTGTCCAAAGAGAACGTACCTCAGACAGAACACAGTCTACTGGGTTGCCCAATTCAAAATTCCTGCATAGATAATCTCAAAGCTCCTTTGGTTTGGAGCATTCTGTGATTCTGTCTGTCTTATGTTATATGAAACTATATATGAAACCATCCTCACCCTCCTTCTCCTCTTTTCTTTTTTTTTCTTAGAGAGTTTTCTTATGGTTTACATATACTCACTGGAGAGACAGAAATAGAGACAGAAAACATGAAATCACCCCTCCCCCCCAGGAGGCATGATCACTTTGGAATCCCTTCTCCATTTTCCTCTCGGGATTTTGGGCGTGCATGCACATGTGCCAGTGTGAGTTTCAAACTTCCTGGTCTGGGACTCGAACCATGGTCGGACATGTGAGAATCCAAGGATGTAACCATTATACCATTTGCTGGTCCCTCTTTCCCCTCTTTAAGCATTTTTCCTGAAGTGAGACCGGGTAAGTGACCAAACCTCTGAATTTCAAGGCAGCTGAGAAACCAAAAAACAAGGTGGGCACATCTAGCTTGTTGGTTTAGAGTTTTTTTGGGAACTTATGAACAGAAACAGTATGGGTGGCTTCAAGATGAGCAGATCTCTGGGCCCTTCATCCCAAGCCATGTGTTCATATAGACAGTGAGGGGGCCGAGGAGCGTTGTACTGAAGAGGTGTGGGAGTATGTCCAGGTGGCATTTGAGGCTGTACAGAGTGACTTAGTGCATTGTTACAGTCGGGATGCCCCGCTCCATGGATAAGGACAATGAGCATGTTTATAACAACTCAGGCTGCATTCTCACCTTGGGAACGTCACCAAAGAGGTTTGGGGTTAAGTGTTGTTCAAAATGGTCAGCGTTCGAGATGGCAGATTAATTTCAAGATGGCGTCACTTTGGTTCTGCCCCAGCCTCTCCCACGCATGAGCAAAGACAAGAGACCCCCACTTTGCTGCCTTCCTCATGGAGGGGCTACACTTAGACGGGGTGTGAACTGTCAGAGCAACCTCCAGGTATGGGATTCATGATGGGGCAATTCTGGGGTGGCTAGTTCATGCCTGGGCATGCTCTTAGGAGGTACATATTTAACTACAGCTAAAGCCTTCTCCACTGTTACCATACCCACCCTCTTGACTCCTGGCACCCTCTGCCCTCCTGTGCTTTTCTGGAATCTTCTGAGATAGAGTTTGATGCAAGATTGTTAACAAGCAGGGTACCACTGTGGTCAGTTAGGATTTGTTTCCACCTGAGAAACCATGTGGAGTGTGAACGTCCACTGCAGCACCGGGAGGCGGGCATGGACTCCCACATGACCGACCGAGGTTTGGGTCCTGGACCTGGCGGCTCTACTCCTCCCTGAGGAGAAAACTTTCCCTCTTTTTTTTTTTCCCCCCCATTTAGTAATTGCCAGAGGGCACATGTGCTCACTAGAGAGAGACAGTGAGAGAGAGAGGAAGAGGGTCAAAGTACCCCCTAGTGGGGTGTGGTCACACTGCAATCTTTTCTGATTTGGGGTATGCACATGTGCTCAGAACATTTTCTTTCTCTTTCTCTTTTGTTTTCCTTTTTTTAAATTTTCTTTTGAGAGTTTTTTGCTACAGGGCATGTGCATTTGCTGGAGAGACAGAGAGAGAAAGTGAGAACTCACCCCCAGGAGGGATAGCCACACTGCAATCCCTTCTCCTCAACTCTCCTCTTGGGATCTTGGGCACACACGCACATGTATATGGTGTGTTTTAAGCTACCAGGACCAGGACTTGAACTGTGGTCGACTATGTGGAAGTTCAACAATGCAACCATTACACCATCTGCTGGTCCCGGGCTCAGCATATTTTCCAAGCCATAGGATCAGAATTCAAACTGCTGTCAGCGATGTGGGATCCCTACACACAGGGCTTGACTACTGCTTCCCACTGGCCAGAGCTTGCAAGTTCCTATGTACATCCCCAGGTAACGTGACAAGTAGTTTGGAACATTGACAGATTTCAGTATGTACAGTTAAGGGGTCAGCAGGTGACATGGTGGTTAAGGTACTGGACTCCCACATGGCTGACTGTGGTTTGAGTCTTGGACCTGGTGGCTTGCTTTCTCACTTTCTCTCTCTCTCTCTCTCACTCTGTCCCTCTCTGGTAAAATTAGAAATAAATAAATAAATAAAATTAGATAAAGTAAATCTTAAAAAAAAAAAAGTTCAGAAATAGGCAAGGCATGATTGCAGCCCAGTCTCTCATGCCCTTCTAGCTAAGAAGAATTTTTAGAAAATTACCCAAAGTGTCTTATTTTATTTTACACTTTCATGAAATATGCTGCTCTTAAAATTTTTGCATCAATTATAATAATGTTTTGCATGACTCAAAAATAAAAACGTACACAAAATTATACCTTGAAAAGTATCATTCTTATCTCTGTACCCTTTTATGAATTCCCTATGTATTCTTCCAGTGTTTCT